TCCCGTGTGGCCATGGACAGCCAAAACACTAACCTCAGGTAACCCACACACACACACACAGGTAATTGTGCAGACTTACACGCGTGTTCACATACTTGCATGCAGGCAATAAAATGTGTATGCACTTGCACATGGTCTATGACATGCGTGCATGTGAACATTGCGATCAGCACACACAGACAGACGTTTTCATACACTCGCCCCAGCCGTCAGTATAAAGCAGTTTCAGCAGCCAGTCACTCAAAGCTACACACACACACACACACACACTGTTACCCTATTAGAAAAAATGCTGACTGAGATACTTTTCCACAGAGGAATGTCCAACGTGTATTGTGTATATACATGCATGACCTTCCTCAGGGTTGACTTTCATGTGGATGTCATTCAAGTTCAGCACACACTGTGTCTGGGGCTGTCAGTCCATCTTTCAGTGTGTGTGTGTGTGTGCTGTCTGTCAGCAGTCTGCCTCCACTGAAGATAATCTCGTAGGCAGCTAAGCCAGCGGAGAGGCCCAGTGAGGCTGACCCCGCTCGGGAAAATAATACTAAACACATGTTAGCACAGCAGCTGTTAGCTTAGCACCAGTTTTCATATCCTCGCCGAACACGCATAGATTGTTTAGCTCTTCTACTGAGTAGTTTAGAGAAAATGACAACTAGCAGAGTGGTGATATGTGTATGGAAGGAACCTGTGAGCAATGCAAATCCCTGATATGATAAACTGAATTCTAGGATTGTTCTTCGTGTATTTTGGCTGTCAGGGAGCTCCCTGTACTTTTTGGCTGCCAGTGTGTGAGGCAGGAATCATCAGAACAAGAGGAACACAGAGATGTGGAGATTTTCCCCCTTTTGCTTTTTTAGTGCAAATTCTTAGTCAAAAACCCTTTCAATAACAGCGGCTGGCACGACAGACATGTTTGGGAAATCAACATCTGGTCATTTGGTCAAATAGTATCCATATGTGTCAGAACAGCCTCTGGTTGTGAGTTGAGGCTCAGCTATGTTATCCAGTCAGCATCATTAACTGCTTGTCTGAGTCCTTATTAGGAGACATTTGAGGGAGTCCAGACAACGTTTCAGAACTTGGAAAAGGTCAAAATTAACAAGCCAATTTCTAATGCAGTTTTCCGTGATACACACTGATTAACAAAAACAAAATGAAAGTCTACAGTCACAGTGTCGCAGCATTAAATGTGCAATGTCCAACACTCTTGAAACATGAGTAAAGTAAGTGTATACATACTTATTTGGCAACAAACTCTAAATGCATTTCATTTATATTTTCCTCAGAGCAGTCTTAGAATAGATTTGCGTGGTGCAGTTGTCTAAAAACGCAATTTAAATGTAGGGCTCTTAACATTTTATTGGGTGTGCCTAATGATCTCAACAACACAGACATCATGTTGGATTGTTTACTGGGGGACACGCCAACTCTAAACACCTGACACACTGACAGCATGCCCATAAACAAAAACAGCAGCAAGCAGAATTACATTGGCCACATGGCGGACACATGGAGGAGACAGCAGCCTGTTAACGCATAGTGTGTGTGTGTGTGTGTGTGTGTGTGTGTGTGTGTGTGTGTGTGTG